CAACCCTACACTGTATTGGTAATTATTATTCCCATTTTGCACTTAAAGAACCTGAGGCAGACAGAGGCTAAATGACTTGCCCAGGGTCACATAGCTAATAAGTATCTGAGGCTGGATTTGAACTCAGGTCTTCCTGACTCCAGACCCTAACTTCTATCCACTGTGCTCCACCAACTGCCTGCATCACCAGTATTCTCCCACAGGACTGCTATTGGCCTGGTGCTGATCCAAGAACACAACTCTACAGTCCAGGCATGCTGGCCACCCTGGAGGAAGTGTGAAAAAGAAAAGATGAGGCCTAAAGCTTGGGTTTCTCTTTAAGGAGCTCCTAAGATCATAGCTGCTATGAGCTAGGGCTAGAAGGGACTTCAGAGGCCAACTAGCATAGCCCCCTCCTTTTGCAGATGAAAGGAAACTGAGGACCAAAGTGAAGGGACTCCCAAGAGAACAAAAGGAGAGAGTGTCAGAAGCCAGATGATTTGAACCCAGCTCCTCTGACCCCAGAGCCAGGGCTCTGTCCGCTTTGGAGGAAACAGGGCCTCATTGCACTCAGGTCCTGCCTCAGCAGGCCTTCAGCTGGTGCCCAGTGGGCTGGCTGGATAGTAGTGGTTTCACACTAGTTCTAATCACTGGCCTCACGATCTCACCCTGCTCACCTTGTTTCATCTCTGTTTTAATTCCACAGATTGAATGGAGCATTGTGTGAGTTTTGTGAAGAAGTCCTGGGGCCAAGCAAGCCTGTGTTCAGTGAATGCACAGAGGGCATAGGCAGGCAGAAGTTTTGAATAGGGAAGGAGGCGTTGTGGGAGGCCTGTCTGCCGTCTGGAGGCCCTCCCTATCACATCAGAGAGCCTCCTCCATAGCCGATGGCTGGGGGAGGGAGGCTTTGTCTAGATCCTACATTCCTGCCCCTACCACCCTCACCCCCACCACTCCCACTTACTCAGTAGGTGGGAAAATAGATGGTTAGATGAGAGGAGAAAGAGGAAGGGGAGGGGAAGAGAAAGGGAAAGAGAGGAGGAGAGGGAGGGGGGAGGAGAGAGGAAAGTGAAGGAGAGGGAGAAGAAAGAGGAGAGAGGGTGGGAGGGAGGAGAGGGAGAGAGGGAGGGGAAAGAGGAAGGACAGACAGACACAGAGAGACAAAAGGAGAGGAAGAGGAGAGGAAGAGACAGAGGGGAGAGAAAGAGAGAGGGAGAGGGAGGGGGAGAGAGAGAGAGAGGGAGAGAGGGAGAGAGAGAGAGAGAGAGAGAGAGAGAGAGAGAGAGAGAGAGAGAGAGAGAGAGAGAGAGAGAGAGGGAATTATAGGAGCCCCAAGGAAGGGGAAGCACCAGTAGCAAGGCTGTTATCCGAGGCCAGAGAAAATGGAATACCATGATGAAGAGAATAGCATTTCAAGCTGGAAGTGATTATCTGGTCCAACTGGTTCATTTTACAAATAAGAAAACTGGGTTCATAGAGATTGTGACTCTCCGGGTCACTGGTGCTCTGACTCTGTATCTAGAGGCTTATGAAGGCTGTGTAGACAGAAGCCAAGAGGGAGTGATAACCAAGGTGAGAGAGGAATTCAGATCTGGGAGGTCTACGAGGCTAGGTGGTTTATGGAAAGACAGCTGCCCTGGGAGTTAGAAAAACCTCCAGAGGTTCAAATACCCCTCCGCCATTTGGGACCACGGACAAGGCACTTAATGTCACCAAGTCTCAGTGTCCATATCTGTAAAATGAGGATAATATTATTTGTACCATCTGTCCCACAGAGTCGTGAGGAAAGCACTTCATAAGACTCTTTAAAGCACTATATTAAATGACCTATTATCTGAAGATAATTGCTGAAAATAATTAAACACTCAGTGAATTGATTTGAAAAACCGCTTGTTGGCTTGAACGGTCCCCTCCAAGAGTGGTCAACAAAAACCTCAAGCTTCCTCTTCTTGAAATGAAATGATACAAATCCATCCTTCCAGCTGCAGGGCTTTTCTTGATGGTTTCTGTTTAGAGAGAATCCAATAGTCCAAACTGCCCTCCCTTGATAAACTTCAAAGGGCCAGTTTCCTCAAGACAGGCTGAAGGTCATCTCTACAGATCACTTCTTCTATTAAGGATGTTCTTGGATATCATGATTACATGAATTTTATAAGCCCTATGATTCAGTCAGCCAACAAGCATTTATTAAGCACTTCCTATGTGCCAGGTACTGTGCCTAGTAAGCGCTGGTTCACCCACCACAACTGGAGCCACGTTTACCCATGGACCGAAGGTGCTCAGATTTATTTGTTGTTCTCCTTCCTTCTCAAAGAGGATCAAGGACATCACGAGGGTGACATCTTGACTTTCTTGTGAATTGGAGTTAAGTGAGGCAGAGCTTCCCAAAGCCATCAGCCTCACTCAGGTGGCCAATGAAAAGAAGGCAGAGCATCATAGATTTAGGGCCAAAATGCAGGAGCCCTAGAACCATCTGGTTCATCCCTCCTCCCATTTCACAGATGAGGCCACTGAAGGCCAAACACCTCAAGTGACCCACCCAAAGTCACACAGATACTAAGCAGCAGTCCTGGGATTTTCATTCTGATTCCAATCAGCTGCACACTAAGTCTAAGGCTCCAGGTTCATATCCTGACCTTGTTTCTTAATATCTATGGAAGAGTCATTTCTTTGGGCCTTAGTTTCCTCACATGTAAAATGAAAGGGTAGAACCCTAAAGTCCCCTCCAGCACAAAATCCTATTAATCCTCTGACAACCCATCTACTCAGTTTGTCTTGCCCACTTCCTCCTCACTTTTGCCTTACATATACATATATATACATGTATGGCTCTCCTCTCATCCTGCAAAGTACCTTTAAGATGCCAAGCTGGAGCTGTATCTACTAATGGTTTCCTCTAGGTGTTTTGCAATGATGGGAAAGCAGAAAGTGCTGAAAAGCTCAAGATCACCTAGAATAATATAAATGAAATCCATATGATGATTTGTCATCTAAGTATCCCTATTTGACATTTAAGGACACTGAGGCACCATGAAGTTAAGTAACTCACGCAGGGTCAAACAGCTAGTAAGTGTCTAAGGTTGGATCTGAACTGTCTTCCTGATTCCAGGAAGGAGTCTGAGGTTACAAGATTATATAGTGTTAGGGCCATAACTCAAGCCCAGGTCCTAACTCCAAAGCCAGCATTATTTCCACAGCGAATCATCGATCTAGGACTGGAAGGGACCTCAGAGGATGTCGAGTTCAACTCCTTCATTTTACAGATGAGCAAACTCATCTCTGGTCCACGTTGGTTAAGTGATTTACCCAAGGTCACACACATAGCACCTGTGAGAGGTGTTGATTTAAACCCAGGTTTTTCACCTCCAGAACTCTTACCGCTGTGTTTCTCAAAGGTGATAGAAGCAAATTGGAGTGGAGGAAGAGGACATTCTTACTCACCAGAGCTATGGACTACTCCCTGCCCCCCTTCCTATTTAACCCCAGGCATTCTGCAATTCTGGGGCAAGAGAAACTGACCCAGTCAATTTCTCTAGGTTTTTAATAACTGCCGTTGCCCCAACCTTATTGACTAGGCTTCAGATCCTGAGAGAAATGGAAGTTCTCAGAAGTAAAAAAAAAAAAAACACATCTGGTGGGCCAGGTATTCTAAGAGCTAACATCAGTCCACGGGCTTGGAATGAAGGCAAGCAAAGAAGACAGGTGGTATGAGGTAATTAAGGAGATCTGAGCCCTACCCCTTAACCCTCTCCTCATCAGAGAAAATCTAAAGGCACTGCTGCCCAAGTGTCCTCCTTTCCAGTAGGAATCTACCTGCTGCCTGCCCAAGGGAGGAGTTGTGGACAGGTGAGAGGATGGTTATGAGATGGGTAGGAAGCTTGCCAAGAAAATCTTTAGCATGCAAGCCAAAGTCCTGGGCTCCCCTCCAGCCAGCAAGTAAGTGGGAGACAAACTGCGTAACATGCCAAGATCTGGAACTAGTTACATGATTCTCCTTCCTCCCCACCTGTTGCCCCAAATCAACATATCCTCTCCCACTTCAATGCAAAGGCTGTTACCCATACCTAGAGTGCACTTCCTCCTCACTTGTGCCTTACATATACATATATATGTATATACACACATACATATATACACACACACACACATATATATATATATATATATATACACACATACATATGTATGTGTCTAATGGTAGTCATCTCTGGGGGGACAGGGAGGGAGGAAAGAAAAAAAGAAATTTACATGATAATTTTGTTGTATATTTGGAAGGAATAGCAAGTTATGTATAGTAGATTTGCTGTTTCACGTACAATCATCTTTTTTTATTGTACTATGTTATGGAAATACTTTGTTTTATTCCATAAATTAAAAATAAAATTTGAATAGTAGCATTTATAGTACTTTAAGGTTTACAAAGCACTTAACAAATACCATCTCATTTTATCCTCATCACAGCCCTAGGATGTAGGTGCTATTATTCTCTCCATTTTTATAGACAAGGAAACGGAGGCAGACACAAGTTAAGTGACTTGCCCAGGGTCACACAGCTAGTGTCTTCCAAATCTAGCATTCTATCCTCTGCATGGCCTCTTAGAATCCCTTGCTCTCTTCCAGGCAATTCATGTGCTACATCCTCCTGGAAGGCCTTCCTGATTGCTCTATCCCACCTCCCCCATCCAGTAGAATATAAGCGGATGAAACCAAGAACCAGTGATGGCTTTTGCCTTTGTGTGTTAATGCCCACAGTGCCTGGCACAAGATAAGCAGGTGAGTGTTGGGGGAGGGCAGGTAAGGGTAGCTCCAGAGAGACTCTCAGCCCTGGAGTATAAGAGCAAAGCACATAGAAACAAAAACAAAAATGGCAGAAACCAGTAGGATATGGGCAAGCAACTGGTTACTGGAACCATGGGGGAGCTGATTCCTCCCTCCCTCCTACACATCACAGCAGACCAGGGAGACCCAATGGAACGCTTCTGATTATGAACTTCCAATGAGACACAGTACCAGGAAATGAATGAGTTGTTAAGTATAAATATATTTGAGCAATTACCCACCCTGTGTTACAATCACGAGGGTAAGGAGAAGGCATCAGAGCCCCTGCATTCATCTGACCCCTCTCGGTCAGCTTTTTTAGGGTAATAGACTAATCCTTTGGCCCCAAGTGATATTTCTCAGACCCTTTTCCTGAGCCCTATAGCAATGTCTCCACTCCCATCCCCATCTCCTTCTTGAGATTTTTTTTTTAATTAATATCCCCTTCTTCTGGGTATCAAAGGAGAGGACTGAAAGGAAACAGGAGAGTCTGTAGGAGATAAAGGGATAAAGGCAAGTATCAGCCTGCTGGAAGATCCCCTCCCCCTCCTGTTACTCTTGCCTCAGAGTGTACAACTGACAGGTAGGAGGAGGACCCCTGCTAGGGGTCATCAGTATAGAAAGTCACTGCAGATCCTTTTTATTTTTTTTTTCTAGACAGCTGGAGGAAGAAAAGGCAGGGAGGGTAGTAGGAAATTGAAGAGAAGAGTGGGCCTTTCTACCATCAATTCTCCCTACATTTCTGCCTCTAAAAACAAGCCTTAGAGAGGAAGGGGAAAGGTAGATGGGGGAAAGAAAGCAGATACAGCACACACAACACACACACACACACACACACACACACACACACACACTCTCTCTCTCTCTCTCTCTCTCTCTCTCTTTCTCTCTCACTCACTCTCCACTGCAATTCATAACACACAAACCCCACTTATACATATTACCCATTCCCACACATATAACACAGACTTCTTACATACCAATCATACTTCTCTATGCAGAACTCTTAAGATTTATGAAAATGATTGAAACTAAATAAATCTGAAATAATTCCCAATGTATGGGTTATGGACCCAGGTCCCCAGTGTGCAACAGCTGTGGGGGCCACAGCAGTGTGAGCGTGAGGGTGAGGGTCACCCTAGGCAAAGCCTGTCCCCTACAGAGAAAAACAGGGGGCCCTGAAGCCCCTCCCACCCACCCCACCCCAGGTTTCAACTACAATCAGGCGGTGAACCTCTGCTGCTCATCCTGTTCCTAGGGGCTGAGACATGGGACATGCAGGCAGAGGCAAGTGAGGCACAGAGGCTGGAGACAGGGTTAGGGGGAGGAAGAAGGCAAGCCTGGCCTCAAACCTCACACCCACTTCAGGCCTGGTCCAGTCTCTCCCACAAGGGGAGGGGCTCTACTCCTTACAGCCCAGCAGCTCCACCCTCAAGGTGATACGCCCATGCCAGGCAACAGGCAGGATCCGGACAAACTGAGAGTAGAAAGGGGTCTCAAATATGTTCTTCTGGTGGGAATTGTTGTCTGAGTTTCCTAAAAAGATCTGTAGACAGAAAAAAGTAGTTGATGAATAGCACAGACAAGCCTAGGAACTCATCCCTTCTCCCTCTCCCCAGAGTCAGCAGCCTGAGTTCATGCCGCAAGAGTCCCTACCCGACTCCCGACACACACACACACACACACACACACACACACACACACACACACACTCACATACTCCTCCTCCCTTTAGAAAGGAACAAGTTGTCAAACTCCAGGGAACAATCACTATTCTGGGTCACATACCCCACAATCACCACCTCCACATGCCAAGTAACTCAAATCTAGGGACTCTATCCATTCCTCTCCATCTCCTCTAGTTTTTCTAGGTCACTGGGAGAGACCTACAGAAAGTGCCTGGGAGTGGAGCTTTTCTGACCCTCTTCCTCCTAAGCCACAGACCCCAGAAGACACACCTTGCTACTGTTCGTTCGGCCGTCCTTGTATACAGTCCACGATTTGGTATCATTACTATAGGCCACTTTGTATGCTGATACATACTGGATATTCCCAAAGTCCCGGGCCCCCTGAGTGATGATGCCTGTCACCCGCTTCGGGATACCCAAGTCAATCTGTAGGAAAAAAAAGATCAAACATATCTTTCTGCTAGAACAAGTGGAAAAACAACGGATTTGGGATCTGGCATCCTGGGTTCAAATCCTGCTCGGCCACTTACTACCTATGTGATCTTGGGCAAATTACTTCATTCCTCTGTTAAACAGGTACGTTGAATTAACTGATTTAAGGGTTTGGGGTTGTTGTTGTTTTTAGTTCTAACTCCTATGATCTTAAGATCAAATGGCTCTCATAGGAAGAAGCCCTGTATGAGACAATCATTGTAAAGGGTCCCCTCTACGTGGTGAGGTACAGCAGCTTCCTGGGCTGAGGAAACTTAGAATTGCTTCAGGAGGCTCCCTGTGGGAACCTAACAGAGTAACCAATGGAGGAGACCGAACAGGGAGAGAAGTCAAGAGAATTAACAGACAGGTTTTTGTTCTTTCTTCTATTGAGTCAAATTGTTTTCTTTAACTACCACCCATTGTACCTAAATTTGACGTCCAACCCCAAGCAGAACAGGCTGTCCTCATGTATACGTCTCTCCCTCTTCCCTCGGGTAAGGAAACCTAATAAGGGTTTGCTAAAGGGGGATAACGCCAGGCACAGCAAAACCTTCCAACCTGCCCTACTGTTCCTCTTCTATCCTAGCTCAACTCAGCCACAGAAACAATAGGACCTGATCAACCCTAGAAATAATCGATTAATCAATCAACAAACATTTATTAAGTACCCACTATGTAGCAGTCACTGTGCTAAGGATACAAAAGGGGGCAAAAGACAGTCCCTGCCCTCAAGGAGCTTACAATCTAATGGGGGAGACACCAGCAGCAACCAGGAAGCGGGGCTCTACCTCTCATTCAGGAGAAAGAGGACACATCCTGGAGATATTGGAAGGTAAAGGACTGGAGTCCTTCTTCCTCCAGGGCTATAATACAAGGGAGATTCAGTTTCCTGGGGACGAGGGAGGGAAGGAAAGGAAAAGCAAGGAAAGGCAGGAGAAAGGGGGTAGCAAAGAGCAAACCAAAAGGAGTTGTGTTGTGTTTCTTTTTGTTTTTTCTGAAATGCACTCCCCCTGAAAGTCAGGAGCAATGACTGGAGTATGGTCAACAGAGCCAGTGAGGAGCCTATTCCTTGGGGAAAATAGTGAAGGTGTTAAATTATTTCCAGATAGGTCCAACGAGGGGACTCAGAAAGTCAAGGGAAGGTCGGGACATACCTGCAGCCACTCAGTGTCCTCCTTGCTCTGAGCGGTCCAGGCATTGAATTTGCCTTGTTTGTCCAATCGAGCAAAATAGGGATGCCAGCTGAAAGCATCCAGGCCAAACGTCTTGAAGGTACTCGAAGCTGTGATCCTACTGTCAGGGATGATCTCAGACTTCATACCCAGAGGCTCAGAACAACCTGCAAAGTTGAATAAAAGGTGCAATGGTTACAAACCTGACAGCAGGCACAGAGAGAGCCAAGGTGGGGACGGCTAAAGTAGAAAGAAGACCATTAACAACCCCATTCTAGGGAAGGGAAGGGCAGTGAGCAGTTAGGAACAGCAGCAGTACCATCACATTTCCCTCATTTTCTCAGCCAAACCTAGCGGTTTCCCATTTACCCAAACACCTTCATGTGGTTTCTTCCCAACCTTCCCTACGTCCACCACTGTACACAAACAGCTCTTTGCAAAGCCACCAGTGATCTCCTAATCACCAAATCCAGCGGCCTTTTCTCACTCCTTATCCTCCTTAACCTCTGCAGCAATCGCCAGTGCTGACCGCCACCTTCTTGAAACTCTTCCCTCAGCTTCTGTGACCTGGCACTATATAGGAAAAAGGTTTTCCTTCCACCTCTCTGACTGCTCTCTCCTTCACTAATTCCTTGTTGTTCTTCCACTGGCTAAGTGTAGGCAGCTGCACAGGGGAAGGTCCTCTTCTCTTCCCTTGACTCATTATCTTCTTCAAAGATTTGTACCATGATTCCCTGATGATGACTCCCAAATTTGTACCTCCAACTCCAACTTCTCAAAGCTCTGGGCCCACATCCTCAAGTGTTTCTTGGGCATTTCCAAACTAAAGCTTGATATCTTCCCCAAAAAGTCTCTTTCTCAGCCTATTATCTAAGCTGACCACCTCAAAGACATCTTTGACTCATGAACTGCCCTCACTCCCATATCTCACACCAAATTCTGCTATTTCCTTCATGATCTCTTTCAGTTCATCATGTCTGTTCCATTCCTTCTGCTACCTCGCTAGATCTGGCCCTTACACCAGACAACTGCAGTAGCCCCTAACCAGTCTCACTTCCTCTAGTGACCTTGGGACCCCTGGTAGTCACCAAAACCCTTTCAGGGGATCCATAAGGTTATAACTATTTTTATAATAATACTAAGATATTTCAGCTTCTAATATGGTAACTATTGATAGATATAACCCACATAATCAGAAGCTCTTTGGGGAGGTGGATCCTCAATAATCCTTAAGAGTATAAAGGGATCCTGAAACCAAAAAGTTTGGGAGCCATTGCTTTAGTCCATCCTGTCTACCATTCATTCATCCTACAAACATTTGTTAATTGCCTACTATGTTCCAGGCACAATTACTAGAATGACCTTCCTAAAATATCACTCTGATCATATTACCTCCTTGCTTAAGGGGGAAAAAAATCAGTAATAACTCCCTACTACCTAGAGAATAAAGTTCAGACTCAGAATCAAAGAATATCAGAATGAGAAGGGATCTGTACCTGACAAAAAATAGGACATTCTCAGCAAGAGCTCATTCAGATTCTTCTTGAAGACTTCCAGTAATGGGTAACTCATGGTCTCCCATGGTAGTCTGTTCCACTTTTGTATAACTCTACCCTTATTCTGCCTAACTGTAACTTCTGCCCACTCCCCCTAGTTCAACTCTTTGAGACCAAGCAGAATAAGACCAATTCCTCATTAGCCCTTCAGCTCCCCCAAGACTGCTGTATCATGTTTCACTTAATTCTTCCCTATGCTAGACAACATTTCTAGTTTCTTCGAGTGATCTGTTCTTGGCATGGTCTCTCCTCCTGGTTGCCATCTTCTCAATGAGCTCCAGTTTGTTTCTTTCCTAGTCCTCAGCACAATGCCTGGCACATAGTAGGCACTTAATGATATTTATTGAACTTAATTATCCTCATTTAAAAATTAAAGAAACTGAGGTTCATAAAGGTTAAATCAAATAGCTAGAAATTGTTGGATACAGGATTCAAACCCAGGAATAAGTAATAGAGGACTGAAAAGGGAAAGGAGAATGGAGAGTGGGAGAGAGAATCAAGAAAGTACATCACATGAAAAAATGCTATCCAAATCCAAAGAAAGAACTATGGAGTTTGAATGCAGATCGAAGCATACTATTTGCTATTTTTTTTCCTTCTGTTGTGTTTTGTTTCCTCTTTTTGGTGGTTCCTCCTATTGGTTCTAATTCTTACCTACAACATCACTAATGTGAAAATAAGTTTAATAGGAATGTATATGTATAGCCTATATCAGATTGTGTGCTGTCTTGGGGAGGGTCGTGGGGAGGAAGGGAGAGAAAAATTTAAAACTCAAAAGCTTATGGAAGTGATTGTTGATAATTCAAAACAAATTAATTTGAAATTTTTTAAAAATACATCACAGACAAGGAGGCACAAGAAGAAGCAGAGGAATATGAGAGCAATCATGACTTCACAGTATAGGAAGAAGCCTAGTGTCAGTCAAAGGCTTCCCAACAGATCAGGGAACAGACTGCAGTTCTACTTGTGGCCATGAGGTGTCAGTGTGGCCACTGAGGGAGGGAAATGGTTTATTCAAGCACAGGGGCGAGCTCAAGAAAGAAAACCAGGCTGAGTGAGGATGGAAGGAGCTCATTGTCACCTCTACAGCAATGCTCAGCCCCTAGGCAACACCCCCAGCCCATCACTCTTTCCAGCTACTGTTGCCTTCTTCCAACCCAGCACTTAGGGAAGGCAAATAAATAAACATCCTGAATATTTATGCTATTCTGACACCTGTCCCCTCCGGATTTGGGAGGATATCACCTTCTGAAGGGTTCAATACTTTCTCCGAGGACAGAAAAAGAGCAGAAGCTAGCCTCATCTCTAGAAAGAAGGCACATTTGGAATCAGAGAACCTGGCTCTGGCAACCTCAAGCAAATCACTTAACTTCTTCTCATTCTCTCATACGCAAAACCAACAGGGCTGGGCAAAATGATCTTCACAGTTTTCCTACAATCCTTCTACTTCTTATCACTCCAAGGTTTCCATGATGTCTCTTGAATTATTTAAAAGTCAGTGTCATAGCAGAAAGAAGCCTAGACTATCCTCCCTGCTATGCTACAGATTCACTAGGTAAGTCACTTACCCTCTCTGAAAAACAGTTTTCTTAACTTGTAAAATGACTAGGTTGGACTACACCATGGTTTCACAAAGTGTGGTCTGTGAACCCAGGACCCTTTCAGAGGGTCTTCAAGACCAAAACTATTTCCATAATAATACTAAAACATTATTTATCTATTAAAATATCTCTTTTTTCCAATTACTTATCTGTGTAGAGCCAAGTTTTCTCCATATACTTCAACCAAAACAATATATCACAATAGACTGAATGCAGAAGCAAATATGAGAATACACTTGTCTTCTACTAAGCCAGACATTAAAGATTATTTATAAAAATATGTAAACAATGACACCCTTCTATTTTTTTTGTTCTGGAAAAGTTATTTTTCATAAAAATATGTACTACTAACGTAATGGATTTGTTATTGTCATTTTCATGAATTAATAATAAGTATTTAAAATTTTATCAGATTGCTTGTGTATAACCTATATCAAATTGCTTGCCATCTCAGGGAGGGTGAAGGGAAGGGAGAGGGAGAGAATTTGGAACTCAAAATTTTTAAAAATGAATGTTAAAATTGTTTTTTACATGTAATTAGAAAAATATTAAAATTTTGTCCATTTTAATTTCCAATATGGTCAGTATCAAAAGATATAAGCTCTTTGAGATGAATCCCATAAGAAGATGGAATCATAGAGAGCCAGAACAGAGATATGAGGAAAAGAGAAGACCAAAGTATGTTCAAGGTGCTGCATCTTCATTAGTCCTTGGAGGGGGCATTCTGGATTTCCATTTGCAAGTTAACTCTCTGTTTGTTTCCATGAAGAGGAAAAAAAATTGAACTAAAGCAATTCAAGATTCCTGGCCTCATGCCCTAGAATTCCATCAAGTAGGCTGTCAACTCCTTGGATTAGGTCATACCCCTGACCTTTAGGACAAGCGTCTCTAGGTCTTATTACGACTCCACAGGTATAATGTTGTTCATTTGTTTTAATTGTGGCCTATTCTTTGGGACCCCATGAGGAAACTGAGGCAAATAGTGTTAAGTGATTTGCCCAGGGTCACACAGCTAGTAAGTGTCTGAGGCCAGATTTGAACTCAGAAAGATGAGTCTTCCTGACTCCAGGCCCAGCATTACATCCACTGCACCACCTAGATGCCCACAGGCATAATAACAATAAAAGCTTGTAGTTATATAGCACTTTGAGATTTGCAAAGTACTTTACAAATCTTATCTCATTTAATTCTCCTAACAACCCTGGCAGGTAGGTGCTATTATCATCCCCATTTTTACAGATATGGAAACTGAGGCAGACAGAAGTAAAGTGACTTGTCCAGGGTCACTGAGGTCAGATTTGATTTGAACTCAGGTCTTCCTGACTCCGGATCTAGTGCTCTAATCACTGTGTCACCAGCTGCCTATTCTACTGGTAGTCCTAGGAGTCCTAGGAGTCCATGCCCATACCTGTCATCCAAAGTCTCTCTGCCTGACTTAGAAATCAGTATGTCAATGGATCAACTGTCTCACAGTACTTCCTCCAATGATTCAAATAGCAGTCCTCTATGCTTTCTTTTCCAGTGCATTTCTTGTTCATGTCTTTCTATAAACCCTCCACGGAGGATCTACCCAGTAGGCTAGAGGCCTCAAGCACTACTCAGCTAGGGGGAAAAGGAAGTAGCCTAACATGTTTTGCTTTCCCAATTCCCACTTCCCACCTCCCCACCCCCAGTGACTCACCTTCCACTTCACAACCAAAAAGCTCAAACCGGAGGGTACATGCTCTACGGCAGACAACAGGAGCGATACGCACAAACTGGGTCACCAAAGGTGGATCAAAAATGTTGGTCTTCAGGCCACTGTTGTCTATGTTCCCCACAAAGACCTGGCATGATGGGAATGAAATGAGTAGGGCAAGAAGTACAGGACTGTTCCTAAGAGAGAAACTTCATGGAGCCAGTTGGTTGTGAATCATGTCTAAGGTCCAGATCCCACAACAGTCCTGATACTACTATTCATCCTGATGTTCTTTGCACTTTTCTAGAACTCCCATGCAGTTTCTCCATCCCTATAGACACTTCCACACATACCACACCCACACACAGCCGTCAATCATTCCAACAGTTCTGGCACCTTAGATGCTCATTCCCAGCTTGCAAGCAGAGCTCAAAAAGACATTTCAGAGTCGACCATGGCTATTTCTGAGCCTTTCCAAATGCTATTTGGTAATCGTGTCTATGTGCCAGGCATTGTTCTAAGTACTGAGGATATAATTACAAAAGTTAAACAATCCCTGTCCTCAAGAAGCTTAAGGTAATAACATATACATTGAAAATACTTGAAAGTAGTTTCCGTGGGAATAGAATAGGGAGCATCTTCAAGATGTGCCCTAAAAAACATTTGAACCCCATACACCCACTACTGACTGGCACCTTAGACACCTGTTTACCTTGTATCCTCCTCCTCCTTCAGAAGCTGCTTATGCCTCATCAACGTGGTCCTCAAAACCATCACCTTCGCTTTGATAGTCCTGTGTGCTGCTCCCACAGCCAATGATGACCACCCCTTAATCTAACATGTCCCTCTTCCTCCTCATCTCTCTTTCCAGCACCAGTCTGTGTCTTACCTGGTCCCTGAGTTGGTTTGGCTCCTTGATGTATTCAAAAATGTTCCCATCATTGCTATATCCCACTTTGAAGGTCCGCAGATATTCAGAACTGCCTGTCCGGCTGGCACCCTGTGTCATGATGCCTGTTATTCTCATCTTCCGCAAAAGGTTCACCTGAGGAAAAGCAGGGAATCCTGAGTTTCAGGGGAGTTTTCAACGAAGGCCCTTCTTGCCCAGGACCCTATTTCCTATCAGAGCATCTCAAGCTATCCCCTGCTGCAATGGGATCCCAACTAAGCTAGGCAATAGCACAACCAAGCTCTTCCATTAGCAAACACATACAAATCAGGCTAAGTACCCCAGCAGAGCCAGACCGCTCAGATATCGGCCTCCTAGATCTACTTTCCCCGCATTCTGCCAAACCCCACCTCAAAAAACCTCAGTTTGCAACATTTTACCAGGCTCTCTATGTAAAGTCTACTCTCTGAAGCCTGTTCCCTACAGACCCCCTTCCCAGGTCACTGGACATTTGTCCCCAAATGCCTTGCATTTGTGAACCCCAAGCTTCATCTTGGCTACCTCTACAGACCTTCAGTGAATTCAGTACATAGCTTAAAGTCTATACCCCATTCCTCTCCTATCATCCTCTTAGACTTTAACACTCACATTGCTGATCATTCTAACACTAGAACTCATAGTTCCTTGGATTCCTAAGCTCCATCTATGCTCTATCTTGGATGTTCACAATGGGGGCTTACACCTGAGATCTCAGTATCACTTGAAACTGGTACAGATTCGAGAGTATGACCTCTGAAATCCCTCTCCCCACCCCAAACATAGTCTCCTAACCCTCCATTCCCATTAACTCATAATAAACTTGCTTTTTACCCTCACCTTGACCACTGGTCCCCTGACTCATCCCTTTTTTCTTAATCTCTCCCAAACTGTGGCTTCACATGCCTCCACATTCAGCCTTATTCCAGTGGCCTATCATTTTGATGATTCACTAACCACTTCCCTGGAATGCCTTACCACCACCCCCACACCCTACCCCCAACCTGTCACTCTCAAACTCAACCCTGGATAACCTCCATTGTGTAAATTCTCTGCTCCCATTTCCAGAATACTGAGCATTGCTAGGCAAAAGATCATGATAGTGAACTGGTTTTACCCACTACAGATTTATGGTATAACCTCAGTGGGGTCCTCCCTATGGGACTCTAATTGCCTCCCTAGCTCAATCTCCACAGCAATTTTTCCAAATCTTTTCCTCTATCCTCAACCCCCAAACTGTATTCCACATGCAGATAACTTACCCTCCTATTTCAATGAGGACATTGAGATGAGGGCCCTCTCAAATCTTCTCAGCATCATTACCCATTCTCTCTTCTTTCCCTCCTGTCTACTATGCCCTTGATCTTATACCCCTACACCTTCTCTAAGTTCCTTACTTCAGTGATTTTTCCTTCTCTCTCATGCATTTTCTTTCTTTTTTTGTAAACAGTAGTTTATTTTTTCCAATTACATGTAAAGATAGTTTTCAACATTCTGTTTTATAAGATTTTGAGTTTCAAATTTTTCTCCCTCCCCAAGACAGCAAGCAATCTGATAGAGGTTATGCATGTGTCAATCTCTGTCTCTCCACTGGCTCTTAGTCATCTGCCTATATTTTCAGGTATCCCCATGCCTAAAATCATCTTCCCTTAACCCTTCATCTTATCCAGATACAATCCTATCTTTCCTTCCCTTTGCTTCTAAACTTAAAAAAAAAAACTCCCTATATATAAGGCCTAAAACTCTCTTAGCACCTACTCTCTCCTTTATTTCTTGCAGTCTAGTTTCAGACCCCAGAGCTACACTTTCTTGGTCCTTCCTATACTTCTCCAATTACTTCCTCTCATTTGATAGCTCCTGTTCCTGAGCCTTGAAAATAGGAAATTCTCCAAGATACAGTTGTTGGCCCTCTTGTCTCTTTTGACAATCTCATTCACTCTTCCGGCTTTAGCTATCATATTTATACACACGACTTCTACATCTCCAGCCCTTGACTTTTCTTCCAAGTACCAGACCCACCACTCTAACTGCTCCTGTATATCTCCCTCTAAATGCCAAAACAAAGTTTGAAGCTCAACAAGTCTAAAGCAAGGCTTATTATTTTTCCCCCTAAAGCTGCTCCTTCTTCTGACTTTACTATTTCTGCTGCTGGCATAGCCATTAGTCCATCTCCTACTAATGTAATTTTAGTGTTAGATTTGATTCTCCTGTCTCCTAGACTTCCCGTATCCAATCAGTTACCAAGTCCTGGTGAGTCTAACTTTAAAATATCTCTTGCACCTGTCCTTTCCTCTCTATTCCTATTATCACCACCCTACTAAACGCTTTCATTACTATCCACATGGAACATTGCTGTTGTTATTTAGTCATGTCTAACTCCTTGTGATCCCATTTGGGGTTTTCTTGGCAAAGATACTAAAATGGTTTGCCATTTCCTTCTCCAGCTCATTTTATAGATGAGGAAACTGAGGCAAACAGGGTAAGGTGACTTGCCCAGGGTCACACACCCAGAAAATGTCTGAGGCTGGATTTAAACTCATGAAGATGAGTCTTCTTGATTCCAAGCCCAGTGTTCTATTCACTGTGCCACCTAGCAGCCTGGAATACTATCATGACTTCCTAATAGGACTCCTTGATTCCACTATTCACCTCCTCCATCTTTATCCATTCTTCTTACCACTGCCAGACTAATTTTCAGTATTCATAGATCTAGTCATGTCTCTCTTCTGCTCAAAAATCTTCAGTTGCTCCCTAGTACTAGGTAATGAGTCAAGTTCCAACTTTTGCATGGCTTCAAGATCCTCCACAATATGGTACCACCCTATCTTTCTAGCCACATCTCATATCATTTCCCCCCACATATCCTATAACCCAGTAAAAATCAACTATTGTCTATTCCCCTGGATACAGCTTTCTCATTCCCACCTCCATATTTTTCTCAGCATTCCCTAGGCCATGAATAGCCTCCTTCCCCTACCTGTCATGTCATTTATACTCACCTTTTTAAGCTCAACTCAGATGTCCTATCCTCCACAAAGCTTTCTGAATGGTCCAAGTCTATCTGGATCTTTCCTCATTCACTGGATCCCAGTATCATACAGGGGCACTTTTCTACCCCTCTCAAATCCACTTTCATATTAGTTTTTCTTATAGTTATATATAAAGACAGCTTTCAAAAGCTCAACCAGACTATGAGATTTATGAAGGCAGCAGTTTTACCTTCTGAATTTTATCTCTCCCAGCATCAAGAACAGTTCTCTACACAAAGTGGGTAACCAGTTTGTTGAATTTTATGTGTTGAAGTGAATCATCAATTGCATTAGAATCCAGGGTTCTGATTTATTGTGCCCATTCATCAAGCCCTTTTTGGCTTCATTTCCCTCCCTTACTATCAGCCAGGTCAATCATACATTCTCCTCCACACTTGAATTCCCCACCATTTCCACTCTGCTAACCCTAAACACTGAGTCATTCTTAGAATCTACCTCTTTTACCTTAACTCCTAAACAACAACAGAAGAAATCATGAAAATATTTGCTATCTTGCTTCAATCAGGCTCTAACTGATATGCCACAATCCTTTTAGAAATCTTTTAATGACTGTCACATTGTCCATCGTGGTGTTCCAAATCTTCATCTTAGCCCTCCAGCCCCCAGATCCACCACTATCACCCTTTATTCTGAGCAGATGGCATTGTCTGCTACTTAACTGAGAATATTAAAGCCGTAATCTTCCAAAGCTACAATCAGTCTAATCATGTCACTTCCTAACCCAAAAAGTCTTCTGGGAGTCCCTATTGCCTCTAGGATAAAAGATAAACACAGTTTTTAGGGTCCTCTACAATTTGGCTGCCACTTACTTTCCAAGATTGTTTCATGGGACACACTTGCACACATGCTATGTTCCAGCCATACTGAATTGCTAGCCATTTCCCCAAAGTCAACATTCCATCTTTCATCTCTGTGCATTTTGCATACGCTGTCCCTCCAGACTAGAAAATATCTCATCAGCATCTCTTCCTCTCAGAATTCTTCTCTTCCTCAATCATCTCTGCCATGAAGGTTCCTGTTTTCCCAAGCTAGTGCTCTCCCTTTTCAAAATATCTTACATTTACTCATCTGTATAACAGTTATTTCCCCCCAGAAGCAGGAGCTACTTGGAAGAAGGCATTGTTTCATTTTTGTCCTTGTATCATTAGGACAGAATAATGCCTTGAACACAGTCGTTTCTTTAATGTTTGGTGAATCAAATAGAACACTAACCCCAACATCTCTCTGCATCTCATACAAACTCTTTTCCTTCCCTCTAATCTCAGGAAGAAGTAGCTCTCTTTTTGTATCCTTTTTTAAAAACTGTATTTATTTTATTTTTAATTTATGGAATAAAACAAGCATTTCTATAACATTATATAATAAAAAGATGATTGCAAATCTATAATGTACAACTTGCTATTCCTTTTAAATATATAATAATGTTATTATGTGAATTTCTTTTTTTCCCTTCTTTTTTTTCCTTCTCCCACCCCACCCTAGAGATGGCTTATATTAGACACAAATATGTGTATATGTGGGTGTGTATGTCTTTAAAATCATTCTATACATACTTCTATTTATTAGTTCTTTCTCTGGATACAGATAGTGTCTTCCTTCCTATGTCCTTTGTCGTTAATTTGGGTATTTGTACTAGTCAAAATGGCTTATTCTAGATCCTAGCCCTTCCAGTAACTCTGACAATATGGTTTTATCAGTTGCTCCTATCACATGCATCTTTAATCTCTTCCTCTGCACTGACTTCTTCCCATAAAGTTTATATACATGCTCAGCCTAAATAAGACAAAACAAAACACTTTCTTCCTTGGCCCTGCTGCTCTCTTAAGCCATAATCCTATAAAGTAGAAATTCCTTTTCCTGACATTCAAAGCTCTCCACAATCTGGCCCCAATCTACATTTTCTGCCTTATTTCACATTATTCCCTTTGATGTTTTCTACATTCTAGTCAAATTGAACTATTTTCCATCCCCCTTGTTGTCCAGCATTCTCTCATATTAACACCTTTGCTCTTAATGTTCTAGACCTGGAGTGGACTCTCCTATTCTACTAAAACTCCTTCCTTTTGTTTCAAGGCCAAACTCAGGTGTCACCTCTGTGAAGTCCTCTCTGATTCTACCACACACACCCCTAAAATTTCTTCTTCCTCCTATTTCTAAAAGCACATTTTGGATCTCTCTTTTACCTATATTCTGCCTACTATCGAAATTCTTTGTAAATATGTCTTATTCCGACTCTCCCCCTTCACCAAATTAGATTGCAAGATCTCTGAAAGCATGCGCTAGGTCCTTTTTCATCCATGTATCACCAGATACATACATACATACATACAGCTTAGCGCTTGGTACACATTAGATGCTTAATAAATGTTTCTTAAATTCATTATGCATACACTTCCCTTAACTTGTAGAAAGTAGGTAACTCCTGGCCTAGACTCCCAAGGCAGAAACATCTATTAATAGTCCCCTAAATGTGCAGGGAGGATTGACAAAAAAACAAAAAACAAAAAACTCCTGACTTCCACTTTTATCATGTTGATTCATGAATGCTACCTCCAAACTCCTTTCCCTCATGGGTCCCCATGCCCAGCTAATGGCTACCCAGGGGCCCCTGGTATTCCCCAGCACCTGTATCCAGGGATTCTTGTCATAGTTGCTGGCAGTCCAGGCATTGACAATCCCTTTAGCGTTGAGCCGGGCCAACTCTGGCCCCCAACGCTGCATCCCCAGAAAGCTGTAATGTACAGATGAGGCTGAAATCTGGAAATCAGCAATGGCACCTCCCTCCATGCCTAGTGGCATATTGCAAGCTGGGGTGAGAAAAAAACAAACAGTCAACACTAAGGAGATGAATGGGACGATGTACCAGGAACATGAAACATTTTCCCTGCCCTACTCTCAAAGAATATATAATATAATCAAGGGAGATGATACACATACACACACACACACACACACACACACACACACATATGTGAAACAAAATAAAAACATATAAAATAGTGCAAATTAATTTACAAATAGGAACAGGACCCCAAATAAATAGGCCTAACCAATCAGTGTTGGGTGGAACTAATTAGATGTGGCCTCCCTGAGGCCTTGAGGAGGTAGTATAAATCTGAGGTGAAAGACAGTGACAGTGTCTTCCTGGTCAGGAGAGCTAAGGAGAAGGCATTCCAAGAGGGAAGCATAATATTAGGAAAACAATGGGAGGGGGCTGTGAAGGACAAAAAGAGGAGAAAACATTGAGAAAAAGAAGATACTTATAATTTTAACTCAGTTTATTCACCATCACCCAACCCCCACACTCCTATTCTAGTTGAATTTAGACTCTTTTCTAGGCCCCAGGCTCACAGACGCCCACCTAATTCTTCCTTCAAGATAAAGAAGGGTTTGAGGCTGTAGGACAGGAAAAATAACTGGGACAAAAGAGATCAATGCCAGTCAAGCACTTACGGGACTGGCAAGACCTTCCCATGAACGGGAAAGGACACTTGCAGATGTAGCCTTCTTCCTGGTCAAAGCAGGTGCCACCGTTCTTGCAAGGCTGTATGTTGCATTCATTCACTGCTCAGGAATAGATGGGTTGGGGGAAGAGAACAGAATTGACTCAGCTCTACTTCCTACCACAGAGGGGTCCTCCTCCATTGATTTGTTGTTCAGTTGGGTCTGACTCTTCGTGACCACGTTCGGGGTTTTCTTGGCCGAGATAATAGAGTGGTTTGCCATTTCCTTCTCCAGCTCATTTTACAGATGAGGAAACTGAGGCAAACAGGGTGAAGTGACTTGCCTAGGGTCACACAGCTAGTAAGTATCTAAGGCAGATTGAACTCAGGAAGACAAGGCTTCCTGTTTCTAGGCCCAGAACTCTATCCACTGCACCACCTAGCTGCCCCCTCCACTGATTAGAAACACGCTTTTGGAGTCCAACCTGTTGGCTTTCCCACATTTTGAGAATCCAAGTTAACCCTGGTTGATAACTGGGAGCTTTGAAAAACAGAGGGTTTAGGTTCATTAGACATCCATGACTATTTAACATCAAATATTTTTAAAACAAATTTACAGTTATCATTTTCCATTAAAAGTGGCTGACAGTAGTTTTGTTCTCTTTCAATCCTTTAGAAGCTTCCATGGTAGGTTTCACCTAGATTAGAACAAACCGAATGAACACTGGGAAGGATATTAGTGGGATATTCTCTGTTCTATACCCCCAAAGGTGAGATAGGTTCAAAGCTAACATAGGAACTTTGATTCCCAAAATAAACCTCAAGGCCCACTATATAGATCTACAGTGCCTTGGAAATGCCTCATCACTTATAAGTGGGAATAAGAGTTATGGGATAGAATAGCTCTTGGAATTAAAAATCTGTAACTTTTTAAAAGATGCTATCTTAAATATATATTTCATTGTATCCTAAACAGTTGCCTAATTAGACCCTGGATGTTTGTGGTTCATAGGATTGTAGATTTAGAGCCAGAAGGGACTTAGAGGAGGTTACTTAGCCCAACTCCCTTATTTTCCATATGAGGAACTGGGGGCTCAGAGAGGATGAAGGACTTTCCCAATGTCACAGAAGTCATAAATATCAGAGCTAAGATTTGAACCCACATCCTCTGCTTCCAAATCTAGCATTCTTTCCATGGTACTATTTTTGCCTCCCTAGTTGTCGAGAAAGAATGCCTAGAGTTTTCACGGAAGGCCCTAGAGGAACACAGCCGTACATGCCTTCATGCATTAGTCTACCCCCCAAAAAATGCACAACAGAAAAAGGAGGGAGGGTAAGGAGAAAGGAGGAGTGCTGAGGAGCCTCCTCTGGGACCTTCAAGTCATGGCCTGTGTAGCTGGCTCTCTGTCTACCACCTCTAAGTGGTTTGTCCAAAACCACTTCCTCTGGGAAGTCCCCAGAGAGACCCAGGGAATGAATAGGGATTTTCATGAATAGGGATACACCACCAGGTACTCCCAGCAGAGGTTATATTCTGCTGTCACATCTTCCTCAGGGGAAGAGACAATGGTAATCAGAACTGACATCCTGAATAGAATCACAGGATTTAGAAATGATGGAACCTTAGAGGTCATTCAGTTTAAGTCACATTTGACAACTGAGGGCCAGAGGTTAAGTGACTTGCCAAAGGTCACATAACCAATAAGTAGCAGTGGCATGATTTGAATTCAGGTCTCCAAATCCAGGCCACATGGACAGTAGGTAGCAGAGGCAAGATTTGAACCTAGGTCTTTGAATACAGGACCCCTTCTTGGCCTCAGTAAATAGCCTCTGGCAAAAAAAAATATATTTGGTGAAATTTTCTTCTGTAAGAGTTTCCAGGACTACCCTGTATCTTGTACTAAGTCAGAATAGAGAAGCTTCAGCTCCTGATCAATGTTCCACAGCATTCCTTCTCCCCACAGGAAGGATAATGGAGTTTTCCAGATTGCTTTCTCTATATAATCATCCTGTTGAAGAGGGTTTCTTTCCTTGGAGATGCTAAGGAGATACTGGTCTATGGAAGGCTAGAGGTATCTCTCCAACCCCCACAAAGAAAGGAATCCAAGGTATATTCTGGGCTCTATGTGACATCTTGTCAATCAGCCAGCTCTGAAGTCAGGCAGAAGGAATCCCTGGGCTAAGGTTGCAAGATTTTAAAGTGGGAATATTTTTACTAAGGTGAGAGAGAAGGTAGGCTATGGAGATAACTGTTCTCATCAGCAGGGTCTGACCATAGTCAAAGACAGGACTACTATTTATCCCAACACTATCAAAGATGGGAAAAGGTATGTAAGCATGTGATAAATTCATAGATAGAATATCTAGAAATTTTAATTGCAGCCTGCCTTCCCCAGTCTTCTTCTCCCCTTATCATGTTCCCATGACAAGGATGTCACAACTTCCTACTCTGGGCCCCAAGCCTCGAACTTTGATTTATGGTCCCCTTGGACCCAGCAAGGTTTAGCATTTGTTTTCATTCTTGTCTCCAATGGAAAAGTTCAAGAGAATTAACCCTAATCCTGATGCTTTGGCCTTAGGCTACATTAACCTCATTTCTTTCTAGAAGAGACCTATACAGAGCTTCCAATGATCTCATGTGTCTCCACGGCAACTCACCTGGGTACAGGAATTGGCCTGCTGCCTAGAGACAGAGAACAAGCCTATGGGAGAGTTACCTCAAAGAGAAAAGATTTAATTGAATGGGAAACCTGGTTAACTAAAGAAACTCAACTACCAAGCCTCCCAAAGTACGGGTAAATTAACCAGGTCCAGGGAAAGCCTTTAAAATATCTGAACAGCATCACTGTGACTGCCTCCCCATCTCTTCTCTGCATCCTGGCTTCCCTGGATTCTTTCAACACTCAGCCCAAATTCTACCCCACCCCATCCCCCCAATACTAGCACCTTCCCTCTGAGATTACCTCTAATTTAATCTGTAACTGTACATAGCTGTTTACATGTTGCCTTCCTCCATTAGACTGGAAGCTGCTTGAGGGCAAAGCCTATTTTTGCCTTTTTTTATATCCCCAGTACTTAGCATAGCGCCTGGCACATAGCAAACACTTTATAAAAAACCTTATTAATATGACCCCTATCTCTGCTACTACCAGCCTCTGATTAAATGTAATCAAGCCCCTGCCATCCCCCTGAAGATTTACCCAGAGTCCACCCTGTGCAGGGACGAGCATCATCACTATTACCCAAAACATAAGGATACCCTTTGTTCCTTCCCACTCCCCTGCCAACAGCCCTGATGGCACTCACTGGAACTGCTTGCTCTCTGGCAATGAGGGCCCTCATATCCTTCAGGACAGTCACAGACATACTGGGCAAAGACATCTCCTCGCCGAGACTCAGTCACCACTCGGCACTGGCCATTGTTTTGGCAGGGATTGGGGGTGCAGGGCCCTAAAAGAGAAACCAGGAGAGACCCAAAGATCAGGTGAAATCTGGGAACAGTCAAAGGACTGAAGAAATAATAGAAATAAAAGCACTTTTCCTAAGAAGATCCTACACCACCCCCACAAGTATCTTAGCACCTGGCCCAGAAAATAGGACTAATTCGTCCCCCAGCCCACTAGAGAAAAAAAAAAGGCCTGGTTGGGAGTTAGATGAAGTCAGCAGGGTTTATGTTAACATGGCTTAAGGGAAGGAATTTGTCAATTCAATGAAGCAGCTACAACAAACAGAGGTTAAAAATGCCACTTCCCTTCCTTCTCCAACTAGTTTTCACTATTTGGGTAGTAAGCCTGGCTCAAAAATCAATCAATCTACATTTATTAAGTACCTATTACATGCAGGCACCAACCATGCTATGCTCTAGGGATACAGAGTCAAAAGACTACCTGTGCCCTCAAGTAGCTTACAATCTAATGGTAGTATGCCAGTGGCATCTGAGGGAGTTGCCCTGCTCTCTAGAATTCTCAAAACTTGAGTCTGAATTCAGGAAAAACTCAGCCAATCAACCCCTGCCAGCATACCTTGCTCAGTCTCGTTGCAGTTCTGCCCAGTGAATCCATCAGGGCAGAGGCAGTAGAAAGTGGAACTCTCGCTTCCATTCAGACAAGTACCTCCATTCAGACACAGGCTGGGATCACAATCCTCACCTGGAATGAAAATGAGCTGTTAGAGACAACTTCCTGAGCAGTGGTTTTGAAACAAGACCCTCCATGAAATCTATTTCCTGTATACTGGGATTCCCAAAAGCCCAATATCACCAGTCTTCCCCTTTGCTCTGCGCCTACAAGTTAATAGCTCAAGGTGTGGACCAGGTAAAGAGTTACTTGATAACTGTTTTTTAACATGTCATAAACTCATAAAGTATTGCTTTGAGGCCGCTCACATGAATTTAGCTAGAGGAGCTGGACAAATTTCAGGTTGGAGCTGGATTCAAAACAGTGAGTTAGCAATAAGAAACCTCAATTTGCTCAATGGCTTGACCAGGCTCTTCTCCTCTCTAGATCTGAGTTTCTTCAGCTATAAAAGGTACAATTTGGACTAGATGATTTTTAAGGACCCTTTTAGCTCTGACATTCTACAATTTTACAAGCCCAGTTTCCAAATTCACTCCATCCAAGGTTGATGGGATCTTCCATATTTTCAAGGGTCCCAGAAAGAATGCCCGGTCTGTGAAGCGAGAAGAATAGAGGAGGAATAAACTTTGCCAGCTCCAATTTACGGGGCACTGAACTTAAGTCAACTCTTAACAAGCTATTAGTCATTGTTCTTTAAATAGCAGGTTAATCCCATTTCCTGACCCTCCAGAGGGTTGAGTCTGTGGCAGACGGGCTAGAGTATAAAGAGACTAGTATGGTGACCACAGACAGCCTCACAGTTTATACCAAGGCAGTGTGGCCAAACCAATTCCAAGTGCTCCTCAAATACCTTAGTCCCAGGGCAAAGGCATTTACTAGTAAGGTAATGAAAGTGAAAGAGAAAAGTTTCAGGTACACCTGAACCATATAGCTGAGAAGGAAATAAAGAATGCATTTGATTGGGCCTCTTTCTTCCAGGCAGGAGAACTAAAGGTTCTTGCCTTCCCTAGCAAAGAGGAAGAGAGGCATTCTATAGCTCTTTCTCCTGACCTGTGAAACTACAGGAATGAATCACATTGGTCCGGATTTTTCATCTCTCCTCTTCATGGCAATGAAACCTCACTAACTAGCTGTATGACCTTAGACAAGTCAACTCATTTCTATATACCTTGTTTATAAAATGAGAAAATTAGATTAGATGATCTCTAAGCTTCCTTTCTGGGTCTTGAATCTATGAACATACTTTAAATATTTAGCTCAAGGTCAGTCACAGACATTCTGGACTTTTTGGTTTATTTTTTCAGGTCACATATTCATCCCAAATTAATCAGAGGAGAATAGGTGGTAGGTTAAAAAGGGCTCCTCAATTCAGATGTTACCTTCACTGGGGGACTACCAGAGAAGACCAAAAATTTGAGTCTAGGACTTCCTCCCCTCCCCCTCCCCCAGCCCAAATCCTTCCTAAGAAATTGTTCACAAGTATTGGAACATCCCACACTTCCCTTATGCCACTATTCTCTAGGCCCTGGGGACCAGACTAAAGCAGGAGACCTTCCCACAACTTAGACGAGGCTGGCCTGAAGCCAGACTCAGCTCCCTCCTATCTCACAGGGAAGCAGCTGGACATATTGGGCTAGAGTCTTGGAGTCAGGAAGTCCTGAGTTTTATTCTTGCCTTAGCCATTTACTAACTGTGTGGTTGGCATACTGGGCCAGTTACAATTTCTCAGACTCGAGTTCCTCATCAGTAAAATGGGAGTGATAAATAGGACTCTCCTTCACAGGGTTGATCAAATGAGAAAATGTGTGTAAAATACAGTGCAAATTTTAGATCCCTTATTATCATTATCTAGCTATCCCATCACCATTTTACTCGAAAAGGAATGTCTAGGCTGGTGACTGGAACTCCAATCTCCCTTTTCCCCTTCTTCCTCCAGCTCTCCATTTCCTCACCTCCCCATGCACACCTTTCCCAAACAGTGGGTTGATCTCTACCAACCAAGTCCAACCACATACGGTGCAGCACAAAAAAGAGCAGGAAAAGGCACCTCACTCACACACCTTCTAAGTCTGCTCAGCAGTGCTGGGACCAGACTATTACTTACCCTTTTCTCAGTGGAAGCTGATGAGGCTCTGAAAAGAGAGACGGGCTGCCCAAGATCATCCAGGAAGCAAATCAGAATGTGAGCTTCCTCTAAGCAAGCCTCTCATCCAGGTTCACTCTTTTTCTAGAGTCCCAGCTCAGGATCCAGCCCCCCCACCCCGGGCTTCACCCCTTGCTCTGTCAAGTCCCTGGATCATGCCCTGCTTGACACGCCCATATCACAACAGACCCATCTCTGTCCTGAGTTCTGGATGGGGGAGATGGAAAACCTTGGGGTAGAAATGATATATACACAGTCTGAGTCACTCTTCTCTTGAGAAATATAAATTGGAAAGGACCATACATGGCACATCACTTTTCATTAGGAAAAAAAAATCAGACTAGGAAAGAAAAGCCAGGGCCACCGCACTGCATAAAGCCCTCGGTCCTCTCTGGATAAGATATGGTGGTGAAGGGAGGTGTCTGGGGGAACAGTCCTCGCTAAAAAGCAGCTGGGATAAGAGATCAACAGCCAAGTGCCCCACCCTCAGCCCACCCCCGACTTCCCAAGTAACAACTGTTTTCCTTAAGAGTCTCCAAATTGTCCCGAAGTTGAGAACATTTCAGATTACAGAGGGAAGGTTAGAAGAGAAGAATCCGACTCACCAGAGACAGCTAAGACCACAGACAGGGAGAATAAGAGTCTCCAAAGTGTCTGGAGGAGGCTGGGGCCCTTCATGCTATCTACCAGAGCTCAGAGGGCAGCTCTTGCCCGGGCTTGTGCGCTGCGGCCCCGCTGGGCTGACTCTGCAAGCTCTTCAAGCCTGTTTGTGTTTTGACTTCTCCGGGGACGGGAGCCACAGAATGAGTCAGTCAACCGACTACTCCCTCCCCTACTGAACGCTAAGCCTGAATATTATAGGGCCCCGGGTCCCGCCTCCTCCCTGGAAGGACCAATGGCTGGAGGAAGCTGTTAGGATGGGCTCAGCCAGCTGGAGGGGCTGGACAGACTGCTGCTGTGGGGGCGGGGTGGGGGCACGCCCCACTTGTGCTGCTCCTGCTGAGCTAAGCTCCAGGGCTCTGGGACCAGCGAGGGTCGTGAGGAATAAGCGGCCCTCAGTCTGGGAGGCTCTGTCTGCCAGAGGGAAAGTTGTTCTCCAAGTACAGAAATGTAGCGGACACCCCTGCTTGGGACCAAGATCATCTGCTATTCCAATCATGGACAGCCACCCCTTCTCTGCTGATGCCCAGTTAGTTCTGAGCATGAATCAGAACAAATCTTCTTGCTAGGAGGGTCCTGAAGAGAATGCAGATTGTGAAAAGGATGCGCAAGCCCTCTAAAGAGAGGCTCCTCGGACAACTGATTCACTGCCAATGAGTGTGTCCCATCAGGAGTTTCCCCAAACTTAGTTTAAGATTTCCCAGCCATTTTCTACTATGCCTTAACTATTATTTACCTAACTATAAATGGCACCTCTCTCTGGTATGGATTTACTGAGTGCTTCCTGCGTGTAAGGTACTTTGCTTGGTACCGGGTAGAATACTGAAATGGAGAAAATCCACTCTCAGCCCTTAAGGAGTTTAGAATCTCATTGGGGTGGCAAGCTCACAATACAATGCAGTGAATCAGTGGCAATGAGGGATATAAAAGTTAAAGATTGCTCTGTGGGCTGGGGATGATCAGAGAAGGCTTCCCAGAGGACACAAGACTTAAAACTAGGCCTTACAGATGCAGGGAATTCAGATAACTGCAGAAAAAAGAAAGGAAGCAGAGCCTCTGTTCTTGGCTCAGAGCTGACAGTTTTTATCAGGCTTGGAGGAAGTCATAAGTCACTTTTATCATATTTGTGGTCACCACAGAGCTGAAGGCCTAGCTAATATGTTAAGTAGAAGAGTTAGGATTCAAAAAGGTCTCATAGACTGGAATACTGATTCCAAGCTAGCAAGGTGAAATTTAATAGCAGTAAATATAAAGTTCTACTTTTAGTTCCAAAAAGTCACCTATACAAGTACAAGGGGTGGGAGACCTGGCTTAGTATTAGTTCCTGAAAAAGTCAAGCCAAATCAAGTCATCAACAGCATTTATTAAGCACCTACTATTAGCCAAGGACTGTGCTAAATATTGGGGATACAAAGAAAGACAAGATGGGACAAAACAAAAAAAAATACAGTCTCTGATCTCACAAGGAATTCCCAGTCTAATAGAGGAGACAACATACACACAATTATGCACAAACAAAATATATAAAGGATAAATTGGAGGTGATCAGCCAAGGGAAGGCATTAGCATAAAGGGGATCAGAACAGATTCTTGTAAAAGGTAAGATTTTAGGTGGGATATAAGGAAAGCCAAGGTGGCCAGAAGGCAAAGAGGAAGAGGAAAAGTATTCCAGATATGAGGGATGGCCATTGAAATTGCACAGAGCCAGAAGAGCAAGTGTCCTGTGAAAGGAACAGCAAGGAACCCAGTGTTCCTGAATCAGAGTCTCAGAGTATAATGTTAAGAAGACTGGAAAGAAAAAAATAAAAATTAATAAATAAATAAAAGTATTTTTAAAAAATAAATAATAAATAAACAAATTTTAAAAAGAAGACTGGAAAGGTAAAAAGCGGCCAGGTTATGAAGGATTTTAGTAGCCTAGTGGAAGATTTTGTATTTGGATCCTGGAAGTGATAGGGAGCCACAGGAATTTATTGAATGGGGTGAGGTAGGGGTAACTTGGTCAGCCCTATGCTTTAGAAGGATCAATTTGACAGCTGAGTGGAGGATAGAGTGCAGTGGGGAGATACTTGAGGGAAGGAGATCAACCTGCAAGACATTGCAGTTGTCCTGGGGTTTCAAGTGTAAAAGACTTAGAATACACCTCTTCCTTTATGAAGTAGAGGTGGGGGACTATTTGGACATAACGTTATGTACATTGCCAGACAAGGTTTCTGTATTGGATGTTTTTGTTTAATTGTCTCTCTTTTTTTAAGGGCAGCTAGGTGATGAAGTGGACAGAATGCTGTGCCTGGGGTCAGGAATATTCGAATTCCTGAGTTCAAATCCCTCCCCAGATACTTATTAGCTTCCTGAGCCTGGGCAAGTCACTTAACCCTGTTTGCCTCAGTTTCCTCATCTGTAAAACGAGCTGGATAAGGAAATGGCAAATCACTCCAGTATCTTTGCCAAGAAAACCCTGAATGGGGTCATGAAGAATCAAACTTGACTCAATAACACCAACACCTCTCTTTTTTATAAGAAAGGGTTCAGTGGAGGATCGGGGTAATAAATGATTGTGATATAAAAGCATCAATAAAATGTTTTGTATGTTTTTAAGTGAACCTGAAATGTAATAAAAGTCAAGAAAGTGATAAAGACGCCCTCCTCCTCCTCCAAATAAGTTACTGAAATCTCCCATTGCATTACTAGAAATACATAGTGCCCCAAAAGTCTTAGTGCTGTTTTAGACCATTAAAGGTTGCTGTAATTGTTCATCCAGCTTTGGGTAAGTAGTAATGTATTTGAGGTGTTTGAGAGACTGTGCTTGTATGCTAAAAGTTCATGTGAGGAATGCTTTCCTTGATACTAGAAAGGATTACGAGGAGGGAGAAAGGGAAAATTCCATTCGATTCAATTCAACTGAAATTTCTTAATGTTTGAAAGAAGAGCACTTGGAGGTCCGGGTTCTAGATTATAGGATCCATCATAGGATTTAGCATTAGAAGGGATCATAGGAATCATATAGTCAAACCTTTGATAAATGGTGCTGTAGTGGACTTTTGAATCAGACAACTTAGCTATGAATCCCAGTCCCACTTTTCACCAACCACTTGGGCAAATGTCTTAAACTGGGCCTTATTTCCCTCATCTACAAAATGAGAGAATCAGATTAAATCATCCCTAAATTCCCTTTTAGCTCTAACCTCATGATCCATGGAGAGGATTCTGCACCAATCAGACTACATCTGAAATACTGAGTTCTATTTCAGGCAAGAGGGATATTAAGAAACTGGAACATGTCCAGAGGATCATGACTGAAATGGCAAAGGTTCTAGAAATCACGTCAAATAAGGAATGAAGAAACTGGTGATGTTTAGCCTAGAAAATAAAATACCTTTGGGGAAAGAGACACATGGGTTATTAAATATTTAAAGAATTGTTGGATACAAGAGGCATTTGACTTCTTCAGTGTAGCTCTAGCAATGGGTTAAAACCCAGGAAACTAAGTTTTAGCTAGATGCAAGGAAAAACTTTCTCACAAGAATGAAATGAAATTCCATTTAAGGTAGTAAATTTCCCATCCCTGGAAGCATTTGACCAGAGGCTAGGTGATACTCTATTCATCAAGGATATTGCAAAGGGAATCCCTACGTTAGGTGGGAGATTCACTAAGATCTCTTTCAACTCCAAGATTCTATTTCTATTCTATTTCAAGTTTAACCAACTGCATAGGAGAGGAAAGGAACTGAGACCTTCCAGGGGCTCTACTTTCAAATGTTAACACATTTTTATTGAATTGAATCAACCTGAATTTTCCTTTTCTCTCTCCCTCCTCCCAACCTCTCCTAGTATAAATGAAAGTATTCATTCCATGAGCTTTAACATACAAGCATAGACTCTCTAAGGCCACAAACACAGCACTACTCATCCTAAACCATACGCTGGAAGTACACATATTAATTCACAAGCAAATATATAAACTCATTACCAAACAGCATCTTTTTTGTCCCAGATGAAGAAACCATGGGCTAAAGATTTTGCTTTACAAAGAATAAATATTTGTTTCCTGGGTTTAAAAGATTTTTCAATCGGAATCCATGTCAGTTAGCTAAGTATTTATTTAGGTACCTTCATTTCACTTTCCCTGTAATAATCTAGGCCTGTAGTTTTCCTGCCTTCCCTAGACATCATTTATCTCCCTTCTTCCACAATTTTTATTCTATACACAATTCAGCAGTTATTTAAATACTATCTTGAATTATCTGTTGTTAATCTTGCCTCCTCAAAGACAATATAAACTTTATGTCTTAACTTCTCTATGTCCCTAAATAATAGAACTCTATGCCTAACAAATAATTATTATTTATTTGGTTGATTAATAGTGTCATTATTAACTTATCCCTCTCCCTTTATAATATAGAATGGGGGAGACAAAGAAGGGCGGGTTTCCAAATAGCACATTGGGAGAGGAAGGGAAGCGTCAGAATCATCTGGAATCCACTCACAAAGATATATAAAATTAAAACAAGTTCTATAACCCAGCATATGGCTAACAATATTTGTTCCACCAGGGTTATCATAGGGTAGGCATTTAAGGTAGATACCCCCAGAGGTTGTACAGCTTAAGAGTCAGCTTATACTTAGAGATCTGAGGGGTAAAGAGATGAGAAATTCTAGGATTAAACTAGACTTTGATGAAAGAAGGTTTCTGAATATCCAACATGCATTGCATCAGTCCACAGTGCATGCCTAGTGAGACATATGAAAACTAGAGCTTAGAGTTGTAAATTCTGCCCAAGCAGTCAGTGAGTACGGGGAGAGGAGGGCAGATGGGGAAAAAAATGTCAAGCTTCCCTCATCGCAGAGTGCTCCCTCTGTTGGCTGTTCAAGAACAATAAATGGCTGAGCTTTTGCCTTATCTCCTGGCTGTCAATGCTCTTTCCCTCTTCGTGGCACTTATTTATCCATGTGAATGTTGTGTCCCCAGTAGTATATATGCTCCTCAAGAGCAGGGACTGTTTCTAGTGTCTTTGGATCCCACCACGGCTTCGCACAATGTCTTGTATGTAATAGGTGCTTAATAAATGCTTATCAAATGGAATATTATCATTGGGAGGAGTTTTGGACATCATATAATTCAATGGTCTCATTTTAGAGATGTGGAAAATGAGACCAAGATTCTTAAAAAAATCA